CCATCCATTGCATCCAATCGCCCAGCCCACTCACCCAGTTTTTCCATTCTTCTCTTGCTGATCAACATCTGGATCTATCTGTTCATCCATCTGTCTGTTTGTTTGGAGTTCTGTCTCTGTTTCTCTATCTCTTTCTCCCTCCCTCCCTCCCTCCCTCCCTCCCTCCCTCCATTGTTCACCTGTTGATCCTTCAGTTCATTGGTCCATTGGTCTCTCTGTCCATTCCTCCATCTGTTGTTGACATCCGCATCCATCCTCTTGCCCAGCTGCCCATCCATTGCATCCAATCGCCCAGCCCACTCACCCAATCGCCCAGCCGCTGTGGGCACTTTATGTATGCTGTGAAGATGTTATGCATTGTATTGAGTGTTTAATCTGTTTTCGAATCTGCATCATGCCATTGGTCCGTCCATCCATCTGTCCGTCCATGTGTCTCTATGTCTGTTCTTTCGTCCATCCATGCAGTTTTGTTTTGGAGAAATGACATACGTATTGCACATTCGGAACAATTTGCCACAAAGAGGCCACCAAAGATGCACCTGCCTTTTTGCTTAGGCTCGGTGAATGGCCTGAACCTGGCTCTATGTTTAGGATAAGGATGTTTCAAGTGACCTATTCTGTCATCAAGTAGAAAAAGTTAGTGATTTAGTAAAAGAGAACAAAGAAGACATGTCCGTTCCTTTTCTCGATGCAGAGTCTGCCCATCTGCAAACCATCCTTCCATTCATCAGTCTGTTTTTTTTTTTTTTTCCCCTTTAATCCTGCCCCTTCTATTCTGGGGGGCACCAGTCCGGTTACTTATCACCAACAAGCTTAGGTTCAGGAGCAGATGAAGAAGAAGAAAAAAGCTGAGGGAGACCAGCATAACCTCCCACTCCTGTAGCACTAGATGCTGAACAGAAGGGGCCAACAGGGCAGGGCAGTGGCGCATACCCGTTCAACCCCACCCGGGGCTCGCATAGTGGCTGGGAAGCCATCCATCGGTACCCAGACGCACACTATCCGTGTCCAATGGGGGTAGGTTAGGGTCACGGACCTGTACATCCAGCCCCGAGGCTCCCCTTCCTAGAAACCAGCGACGTCCCTTGATCCAATCACAGCCCCCCTTCTCTCTATACTATCAATACCACTCGGTTCCCACCTATCACCTTATCTATGTTCAAGACACAGCCATCTGTTCCCTATACTACCCCCTGGCGTCCCCCTGAGTCCCCTCGCATCAACCCTCTAACCTACTCCCTCCTTACCTCCCGAGTCCCAACCAGTTCACTCTTTGCGGCAACAAGTACCTTCACCCCCAAGTTCCTTTCATTCTCCCAGCAGTCATATCACATTGCCCCCCTTCCTAGTCTCAACCTCCCAATCCAACTGTTTTTTTTTCTTCTTTCTTTGGGGCCATTTCTCGATTTATGCATGTCATCCTTGTGCAGGGGCCATGTCTAAGTTCTCTGCTGTGTAGCACGGCGAACGTGTTTGCGGCTCTTCCCGTTCCGGCGAACACTTTTGCAAGAACGCGTTTTTGAGGCCCGCGAACGGGGTTCGCCTGGGCCAGTACCGGTCGCTGTCTGGGTTTTGGGGGCTGCTGCGGCGACGTGTGTGTGTGTGTGTGTGTGTGTGTGTGTGTGTCACATGTGTGTGTGTCACATGTGTGTGTGTGTGTGTCTGTCTGTCTGTTTGTATGTGTGTGTGTGCACCAGACAGTGCATTGCACAGTCTGCTGCTGTTTGAGTGCGCACTCAGACACTCAGACAGCAGCAGACTGTGCAATGCACTGTCTGGTGCACACACACATG